TTCAGAGTCCATCAGTTCTTTATCTGGATGTAGATAGCATTTTCCATCATGAATCCTTTGGAATTATCTTGGATCATTGTATTGATGAGAAGAGCTAAGTAATTCATAGTTGATCATCACACAATGCTGTTGTTACTGTGTACAATGTTTTCCTGGTTCTGCTCATTTAACTTTGCATCAGTTCATGTAAGTCTTTCAAGATTTTTTTGAAATTTGCCTCCTCATCATTTCTTATTGCACTATAGTGTTCCATTACATTCATATACTACAACTTTTCAGCTGTTCCCCAATTAATGGGCATCCCCTCAATTTCCAATATTTTGCCACCACAAAAAGCTGCTGTAATTATTTTTGCACATGTAGGTCCTTTTCCCTTTTTTATGATCTCTTTTTTATGATCTCTTTGGGATACAAACCTAGTAGTGTTATTGCTGGATCAAAGGGCATGCACAGTTTGGTTTCCCTGTGGTCATAGTTCCAAATTATTCTACAGAATGGTTGGATCAGTTCACAATTCCATCAACAGTATATTAGTGTCTCAATTTTCCCACATCCTCTCCAATATTTATCATTTTCCTTTTTTGTCATATTAGCCAATCTGATGGGTATGAGGTCATACCTCAGAGTTGTTTTAATTTGCATATCTCTAATCAAAAGTGATTTAGAACACTTCTTCAAATGACTATAGATAGCTTTAATTTCATCTGAAAATTGACTGTTCATATCCTTTGATTATTTATTAAGTGGGGAATGGCTTGTATTCTTATAAATTTGATTCAATTTTCTGTATAGTCAAGAAATGAGGCCTTTATCAAAGATCCTTCTATAAAGACTGTTTCCCAGCATTTCACTTTTTTTGTAATCTTGATTGGATTGGTTTTGTTTGTGCAAAAACTTTTTAATTTAATATAATCAAAACTATCTATTTTACATTTTTTAATGCTTTCTGGATTTGTTTTACGTCCTGTAACTTTGTTGAAATTGTTTCAATTAATTTTTATTTGAGTATACATCATATCATCTACAAAAAATGCTAATTTTGTTTTTTTTTGCTTATGCTCATTCCCTCAGTTTCTTTTTCTTTTCATACTACTATAGCTAGAATTTCTAGCAATGTGTTAGGTTGTAGTGGTGATGGTAGACATCCTTGCTTTATTCATGTTCTTATTGGAAAGGCCTCTAACTTCTCCATTGTATGTAATGCTTGCTCTTTGACTTAGATATTATTTACTATATTAAGAAAAGGCATTTTTATCATAGATGTCATTCTTAACAAATTTGCTAATGATAAAAAACCGAAGGGAATAGCTATCATGATGGATAATAGAACCAGGACTCAAAAAAAAATCCTGACAGGTTAGAACACAGAGAAAAATTTAAGAAGATAAAATTATTTAAAGATAAGTATAAAATCTGATGTTTGGATTAAAAAATAATTTCATAAGTACAAGTGGAGGAAGTGTGGCTAAGCAGGACTTTGTCTAAAAAAAGATATTGAGCTTTTAGTGGACCAGAAGCTCAATATGAATCAACAGTGTGATATTGCAGCCACAATAGCCAACTGAATTTTAGGCTATGTTAAGAGTGGTATAGTGTCCAGGATTGGGGAAGTGATGGTCCCACTATACCCTGCCCTGGTCAGACCATATCTAGATTTCTAGATTCATTCTGGAAGCCACATTTTAGGAAGGATATTAATAATCTGGAGGGTTTCCAATGGAGAGCGACAAGGATGATGAAGGGCCTCAGCATCATTCCATGTAAGGATCAGCTGAAGGAACTGGGTATGTTTAGCCTAGAAAAGAGAAAACTTAATGGAGACATGCTAGTTTTCTTCAAGTATTTGAAGGGTTTCTATGTAGATGAGGGATCAGACTTGTTCTGACCCCAGAGGGAAGATCTATAAGTTGTTGATAGAAGTTGCAAAGAGGAATATTTAAGCTTGATGTCAGGAAAAGGTTTCTAACAATCAGAGCTATCTAAAAGTAGAATGCATTGCCCCAAGATGCAGTGGGTTCTCCTTGACTGGAGTACTTCAAGTGGAGCTTGGATGATCACTGGATAGATTTGTTCATGTATGGGTTCAACCAGATTTTAGATTCTTTTGTTTTAGAAAGAAGGATCTGGTTCTCCTCCTTGCCTTCTCTGATCACTACCCCCTTGACTTAGTTTCCCCTCTTGGTGGCAAAATAGAATGTGTAGCTTTTTTCTTCTTAGAAGAGAAGTGTGCATACTTTATGGTACCTGACCTTTTTATTGTATCATCCTTTTCTTGACCAGTGGAGAGATTGGTGCTTTGTAACTAGGGAAGGGCTTGTATATGCTCTATTCCTGTCAACTTTGCTCTTGTTCTTAGTTCTTATCAAGAGGCCGTGGGCATGGCTTATGGATAGGGTGATATGTGTTATGTGATATGTGATATCTTTCTGTTAATTGGAAATGGTAGGGTACTTGGTACCTCATCCAGTGCTAAATTCTCATAGTCCAAACTTCACGTTTTTGGATAAGGTAAGCCATTGCTTGGCCTTTACCTTGAGGATAAATGAATCCATTCTACCTCTGGCCTGAAATGTATTGCTATTGAATGGATTTCTGCTGCCTATAGTAGGTCTTGGGCATTGCCAAGTAAAATTCTGTTCTGTCCAGATGGCACCAGAAACTTTTTTTTTAAACACATCCACATTTTAAAAAAACCACCCATGGGCTTGGTTCAATGGAGGATCATTTAGAGAGTCAGTAGAAAGCTTTCAGAACATTTCTTCTCACTCTGTTTTAAGTTCCCTCTACACAACAGAGAGCATGCTAGGGCTTGAATGTGACTGACAAAAATGGCTAAGGTCATACACACCCAAACGTGTTCAGTCCCCAGCACTCGGCCCCTTGCCAAGTATGCTTGCTATTCACCACTTTGGGGGAATCTGCCTGTCAGTGAGTTCTCACAGTTTCTCATGAAGGCCTGTTCTGGGGAACTGCTATCTCTGACTTCACACCCTTGCAACAAGGGAAAGCCTGGACTGTTGCCAGGTGCATGTTTGAGATTTGTAGCTTCTTCAAGCTTCCTGGCTCTCTCAATTCCATTGCTAATGGATTTCAGAAAAGTAGGTGTATGTTGTCTCCAAAAGGAAAACAACGTAAGTTTCAGTGTCTGCTTGTCAGTGAGAGAAGTTTCCTTCAGGTAGGCACCGCTCACTAGAAGTGGTGAGACACAACAGTACTACCAAGGGGTGTGGTATATTAGAAAAAACAACAACATTGAATTAGGAGCCAGGACACTCAAATCCTCATCAGGGTTTATATGCTACCAATTCACTGCATGACTTTGGCAAAGAAGCTGGCACACTCACTCATGATATACAATATTTTTTTATTGTATCACTCACTTTTAACTCGCTGTACTATGGTTTGTCCCTTCTCACTGACGTGTTGAGCCCTAGCTCATCTAGTGATCTTCCTGTAGAGACCACCAGGTGGCGCAGTGGATAGAGCACTGGAGTTGCAGACAGGAGAGCTGTTCAGTCATTTCAGTTGTGTCCAACTCTTCATGACTCCTTTTGGGATTCTCTTGGCAAAGACACTGGAATGGTTTGCCATTGCTTTCTCTAGATCATTTTATAGATGAGTAACTGAGGAAATGGGGTTAAGTGACTTACCCAGGGTCACACAGCTAGTAAATGTCTGAGGCCAGATTTGACCTCAGGGAGATAAGTCAGAGACTTTGTTTAAAAAAAAAAAAAATCTTACCTCTGACACGAGATTAAATTTATAATTTACATAATAAAATCAAATTTACAAAATTTTGAAAGCAAAGTAGCTCAAAATAGAGTCCTTCAATCAAGTTATTTTACAAAAGCAAACAATTATCTAAAAGCTTAGCACTCGTGACAAGGATGACAAGGTGCATGTGAAGCTAATTTGAAGGAATGTCAATGTTATGAAATATAATCAAAGTTTCATTTGGAAATATAACAATGCTTTCTGCTTCATACTTGGTCATCACAAGTTCAATGACATACCTGAAAATTTGCTTAAAACTGGTCTCACTTAGAATCCTTTATGTAAGTGCCTCATTTAACACTGCATTAATGAGTTTTCACTTCATTTAGAGCTCACATAGTCCTCTAAAGCAGTGTTTTGCCATACTTAAAAAAATTGCTTATGTTACAGCACCTAACAAACACAGTCTAAGAAAGGAAAAATGGATAGGATAGCTCTAAGATCAGAGGATGTGGCAAGAGTACCCCAAGCAAGTCACTTCATTTCTCTCAGACTCAGTTTACTCATTTGTGAAATGAGCATAAGAACAGAACGTACTCCATAAAGTTGTAAGGGTCAAATGAAATAATGTGTATAAACTGATTTGTACTCTTGCATGCCTTAACGTATCGTATAAATGTTAGCTGTTGTTATTATTCCTCAGAATAGCTTATAGAGATCTTAAAGTCAAGTATCCAATCTTCTTACAGCTTATACCCCTACTCTCCACCCCTACCATTTAATTTGCAATCCTGTGGCACTGACCTCTTTACTATTCCTCAAACAAGACTCCAGCTCCAGAATCCAGGCATTTTCACTGAATGTTTTCATTCTTGGAATGCTCTCCCTCTTCAGCTCTGCCTCCTATCTTCCCTACTTCCTTCAAGTGCTAGCTAAAATCTTATCTTCTGCTGAAAACTTTTCTTTATCCTCCTTAATTTTAGTGCTTTCCCTCTGTTGATTATATGCAATTTATCCTGTATAGAACTTGTTTGTACATAGTGGTTTGCATGTTGTCTGCCCTGTCAGGAGGCTCTCTCCTTGAGCACAGGGTCTGTCTTTTGCTTTTCTTGCCTTTCTTTATATCCCCAGTGCTTAGCATAGTGCCTGACACATAGTAGGTGCTATGTATTGACAGACTGACTTACAGGGGAGGAAGCTAGTAGCAGTGGAGCCCAGATCTCAAATCTTCTCTACACCTTCCAGGAAGACACCTTGGGTTGACGATACTGTTTTCTCTGTCTCAGGCAGGTAATGTGGTGACTGGAGAGATGGTAGAGGAGCTTATTCTTTCTGGAGCAGACATCATCAAAGTGGGAATTGGACCAGGTAAGGACTCTCTAGAACACAGAATGGCCAGGATAATGTGTGAGAACCTTGACTAGGGGAGGGTGGAGGCTAGGGAGGAAGTTCCTGTTGCTGGGGAGTGATACCTTATGAGTGAGAAACAGAAGGGTCTAAGGGGAAGCCTATGATTTTATTGATAGAAAAGTGACTGCTGACCCTGGAGAGTCTCTAAGTGAGTTTGGCCAAAATTTGGATGCTGCTTTTGTGGTTTCAGAACATAAGTACAGAAGCAAAGAATGCTGACTTCAGTGATTCCTCAGCCTATGACCTCTAAGGGGGAGGGTGGAACATCTTTGGGAAAACGGTTTTACTTTTCCCATATTAAATTCAAGAGAAAAATTATTAAGTAATTCTATATGCATGGACATTTTTAGGCACTGGGCATACAAAAATGTCTGACCCCAAGGAGTTTATAGTCTGACTGAAAAGAACAGGTATAAAATGCGTACCTAAAATAAGTGACACAAAGTAGAATGTGATAGGGACAAAGGAAGAACCAGCAAAAATATTAGGAGAATTTGGGGGAGAAAGGAATTATTGGAATATTGAAGTGTCATACACATGGTTAATTCAACTCTGAAGTCCACATTTAGTTCCATATCTTGGGTTTTTCCATAGTCACAATTTTTCTCCCTTGACACTTAAGGCTGTATTTTTCTAGCATGTCCCAAAGCATAGGCTTCTAACTACTCTTCCTGTGGGTAGGTGGAGGCCGTACTCACTCACAAAGACCAGCTCAAGGAACACTCTGACCCTGGCTTCACTCTCATAATGCATCCTCTGAGTTAGCTCTTGGAGCCCAGCTGACTCTGTGCTCTGGGAAAGAAGCATTGGTCCTGTGTGAGGACGCCTATATGTGTGCTGGCTCTGCAACTTTGTTGTATCCTCCAGGGATCCTTAGGAACTAGTTGGAAAGCACCCAAATGAAATTCATAGCTGCAGAGTTACTGGAATGGCTATGTGGAGAGGTGCTGCTTAGGACAAATTAGGGTTGGATATCTGTATTCCAGTCATTCATTCAACATTGATTAAGCACTTATTATGTGCCGGCAATGGGCTAGCCACAATGGGGATACTAAAATGAATAAGATAAGATTCTTATTCTCTAAGAGCTTAAAATCTACCAAGGAGGATGAAACTCATGCACAAATAACTAATACAAAATGGGCAGTGATAAGTTCATAAGAGGTACAAATTGTTATGAGGTCAGACTGAAGGGGGTCACTTCTGACTGGGAAAATCAAAGAGGAAGCCTCTTGGAGGAAGTGGCACTTAGGCCATAATTTCAAGGACAGGTAGGATTTCAATGGGCAGAGTTGGAGATGAGTTGCATTCTAGGTATAAAAAACAGTGTGAACACAGACATGGGACATTCTAGGGCAATGGAAGGAAGTCTGAGGTGCAAATTTTTATATTCTCTCTGATCCCCTATTTTTCTATTTACTTGTGCCTTCAATGAATCATAAATGTAGAACTAAAAGGGGCCTTAGAGATCACCTAATTCAATATTCTTGTTTCAAAGAAGAGGGAACAGAGGCTAAGAGGTTAGGTGACTAGCCCAAGGTTATCAAGGGCAGGATTCAAATCTAAGAACACTCCTTTATACATAACTACTATCACTTAAGCTCATTTTCAAGTCAAGGCAGCTGGCATTTATTAAGCATCTCCTATATGCCAGGCATCTTGCCAAGTGCTAGAGATATAAAGAAAGGCAAAAAAAATGTCTTTTCTCCCAAGGAGTTCACAGTCTAATTGGGGAGGTAACATGCAAACTTATTTTATATGTACATTGAAGATATATTTAGGATAAATCAGATACAATCTCAGAGGGAGGGCTCTAAGATTAAGGAGGGCTGGGAAAGGCTGCCAGTAGAAGGGGGGACTTTCACTGAGACTTAAAGGAAGTCAGGGAAGCCAGGATGAGGAGATGAAAAGGGAGATGATTCCAGACATGGGGGGAGCAGCCAGTGAAAATGCCCAGTCATCTGCTAAGGTCAATGTCCGTAGATTACAGAGTGCCTGGGAGGGGAGTGAGGTGTACAAAGACTAGGAAGGAAGGAAAGGGTGAAGTTATAAAGGCTTTAAAGGCCAAACAGAGGATTTTCTGGTTTATTTTTCTCTTCTGACGTATGGATTAAATGAAGAGGTGGTAATAGGAGGTACAGATGTTTCCAGATAAGCTTGAGTCAGACTGTGGAGGGTTTTGAGGGCTCAGTTAAGGCACTGGAACTTTGTGCAGTTGACAATGAGCAGTCATTCAAGAATTCTGAGTAGGGATGTTACAAGAATAATCACAAATAGAAAGATTAATCTAGCAGTGGTGTGTATAGTATGGATTGGAAGGGAAATAGTCTGAAGGCAGGCAGTTAGGAGGCTGTTATAATAACACAGGTGAGAGGAGGACAGTGTTCTTTACATTTTTGGAACCAAGAGAGCTACCTCGCAAACTGCGAACATGCAGAGTCATAGGAATATAGAATTATTCTTTGTAATAACAAGTAGAGTTATTCAGTAGAAAATGGTGAGTGTCCTCCTTACACTTGGCCCCAACAGGACTCTAGCACCTGAAGGCTAACAATAAACTCTCATGCTTCAGATAAAAGCCTTGCTGATTTTGTACCCTTCAGGGAAAGGTAGCAACCTTGGTGGTCTTGGTCGAAGGGCTAGAACGATGTCTAAATGTGGATGTGGCACTAACATCTTATTAGCGTGATTTAGTTCAGTGCCAAGTTGCTTTTTTTTGGTTGTATTATTTCTCATCTCCCTTCTCCCCCCACTTCCTCTGCCAAAAAAAAAAAGACTAGAGGGAAAGGAAGGAAAACAGAGATCTGTCTTAACAGTTTCTTATGTATGTTAGAAGAGAAAATGAGCATAAGAAATCTCACTTAGGCATAAGGAAGTATTTCTTGGTTAGTCCTACAGGACCTGGCTCTGTCACTAACAATTAAACATTGGGAAAATCACTTAGCCTTTCCAGTCCTTGGCTTCTTCATCTGAAAAATGAGGTTGGGCTAGATGATCTCTAAGATCCCATCCAACTTTGAACCAACAATCCAGTGAAAGGATTAGAATAGATGATTTGGGAGAAGTTATGAAAAAAGGCCTAGTTTAAGGTTTCTTGAGCTTGATTTTCCCTCAGTCTGTAGTACACTCTTAGGTGAATGCTTTGTTATTATTTTCAAGTTGTTTTGTCAGTGTGCCCTAAAGCAGAGTCTCTTAACTTTTTTTGGCACATGTACTCCTCTGACAGTTTGCTGAAGCCTATTGGCCCCTTCTCAGAATTATCTTTTTAAATACATAAAATTAAATGCATAGAGTTACAAAAGAAACCAATTCTATGGAAATATAGTTATAAAAATACTTTTTTAAAAAGTTTCCAGTTCCCAGGTTAAGAATTCATGTCTTAAAGAGTTGGTAAGTCTCTAAAGAGCAGGGATACCCTTCAGAGTTCAGTACACAGTAGGCATTTAAAAATTTTTTGGAATAAATGAATGAATGAATGGCTAACAAATGTATATAGCTGGGGCTTCTTAATAATGAGTTAGATGCCTGTTGGTCTTGGATGGTTTAAGATTTCTGCCTTTGGGCAAGTCTAGTAGCAGTGGAGTTCCAGAGGTCTCTGCAAGCTGTTGAGATATGACAGAAAGATCACTGGATTAGAATTTTTAGATCTTATTTTGGGCTGAACTGGATGATCTCAAAGGTTCCTTCTAAGGTTTAAGAATCTATGACTTCTTACCTGGAGAGCGTATTGGATTGGATAATCTCAGAGAATTCTTTGAGCTCTAATCCTCTATGAAATTCTCCTTTTGTTGGGGTGTCAGTCATAGTCAATAATAGTCATTAACATTTATTAAGCATATACTATGTGCTAAGCACTAAGGATACAAATACAAAAAAGAAAGACAGCTCCGGCCCTTAAGGAGTTTACAATCTAAAGGGTGAAGATAGCACACAAAAGAAAGCTGAAAAATTAGGGGGACAGGGGCTGCTAGGTGGTGCAGTAGATAGAGCACTGGCCCTGGAGTCAGTAGGACCTGAGTTCAAATCTGGTCTCAGACCAGATATTTGACACTTACTAGCTGTGTGACCCTGGGCAAGTCACTTAACCCCAATTGCCTTGCCAAAAAAAAATTAGGGGGACAGAAGGTCGGAGAGGGTGGGTGGATTGAAGGTCCTAAGCTTGGAGGGCATGGTGGAGAACTCAAAGAAGTCCGAAATGAGTACAACTGGCAGCCAAGGGGAGAATGGGATGTCTGTCCTGCCCCCTCCTCCTTAAAAGAGGGATGAGGAGTTCATGGCCCCACCTTCCAGAGGGTCAGAGTGTACTGATGAGATAGAAGGACCAAGGCTGACTGGGTCTTGCAGGATGACAAAGTTTTCCAATAATGAGGTTACTGGGGACGTGGTGAAGAAGTCCAAAATGTGTGCAGTCAGATAGGAAATGAGTAGTGGCAGTGTAGGAGTAGCAGATGATGACAAGTGTGGGGAGGTAGGCTACTCACTGTAGGATAGTCGGAATGGTTTGGCTCCTGCCATAGTCCTATTTGCTTTTGGCTGAAGATACTTTACGGAGGTCAAGAGGTTCACGTAATGAAAAATTAATGTTAATGACAGGACACAGTATAACAAAGTTTAAAGTTAAGTCATCCTCTCAGCTCACTCTGCAGACGCCCTGTGAAAGCTGGGGCTTTCTAGGATTCTGAAGCCTTCTCTGTGGCTTGACTTAAGCTACGGGGCCCCACCCTGGTTGGAGGAATGACTGCCCTGGAGATGTCTTGGGATTCCCTGTCATTCAATCAATCAACAAACACTTATGAAGAATGTACTCCGTGTCAGACACTGTTCTAGGTGCTGGAGAAAACAAGGACAAAATTGGAATAAACCCTGCTCTTAAGGAGATTACAATCTAGCTGGGGAAACAACATGTACATGTATAGGTATATGTTAACTAGATACAGTTGCAGGAGAAAGGCATCAGCAGCTGGGGGTGGTGGGTATGGTCAGGAAAGCTTCATGTAGAGGGTGGTATTTGAGCAGAGGCTTAAGGAAAAGTAGAGATTCCAAGGGTGAAAAGAAAGAACCCTGCAGCCATGAAGGACACCTAGAGCCAATGCATGTAGATGGAAGAGATAGTGTGCTAAGTTAGGAGGAATGGCAAGGCCAATTTGATTAGGCTTTAGTATATCGGAAGAGGGGTATATATACTAGGGCTAGAAAGGTAGGTCGTGGCCAGGTTGTGAAGGGCTTTAAGTGACAAACAGGAGTTTCTGATATGGCCCAATAAAACCGTTACATGAAGGGATTTGGGGAAGGGGCACTACATGGTGGGAGGAGGAGGCTCCAATAGGGTTCCCTGGGCTGCAGTGCTGAGGTGTTTTTTGTCTTCTTTATATAATCATCTGAGCCAGGGGCTGAACTGTTTTATCCTAGTCCCTAAGCTGGTGTAGGAGAAGGCAGACTAATTCCACATGCCTGGTAATTGCCCTTCCACTGACATGAACATAAACCATACTAGGGAGAAGATTTGGCTGTGGGCCCCATAATTCTCTCTTCACCTCCCCCTTTTTATTTGAGGAAGGCTCATGGTACAGCTTGTGCCTTTCTACAGGTGAAAGGGGGAGAATTTAGCTCAGGATGAAAGCGACCATCACAAAGGGAACTGGGCAACATGCCATGATGCTGGCCAGCCACCAGGCAGAGCTGCTATGGACAGCAGGTCTTACTGTATCCAGGGTGATGAGCTATAGTGGGAGGAGGACCAGATGAGAAACTAGGAGACCTGACCACTACTTTGTCACTTTGAGGACTCTATATGTATGAGACCTCATAGAAATTATTTCTCCTTTAAAAGCCTTAGCTTCTTTATCAATAAAATGGAGAAGTTTGCTGAAAAGAACAAATGAAAGAATGTATGTGATGCATTTTGAAAACTCTACAACACTGCATTTGAAATTCTTGGATTCAGGTCCCAAATCTGACACTGACTGGCCATGTAACCTTGTGCAAGTCACTTAATCTTTCTGGTCTAAAGCCCAGAAACCAAAGTTTCATCATCTATAGAGTGAAGGTGTTTGATCAGGTGATCTGCTAATAGGGCCATGGTACAGTGGGAGAAGCATCAGTCTCAGAGACAGAGGACCTGTGTTCAAATTTTACCTCTTATGCTTGTTACCTAGGCAACCTTGGGCAAGGCAGTCAGCTTCCCTGGGCTGCTGTGTTTTCATCTGTGAAACAAGAAAGTTGGACTCAATAGCCTTTGAGTTCCGGTTCAGCTTGAGAACTATGATCCTATGATCTAGTGTTCTACTTTTAATAGGCTGTACTGTACAAATACAAGATATTATATCTTGAAAAATTATATATCTTGAAAATTGTAGGGGTTAGCTAGGTGATATAGTGGATAGAGCTCTGGCCTTGGAGTCAGGAGGACCTGAGTTCAAATCTGACCTCAGACACTTGATACTTACTAGCTGTGTGACCCTGGGCAAGTCACTTAACCTCAATTGCCTCACCAAAAAGAAAAAATAAAGAAAATTGTAGTGTATTCTTACAAAGATACTTTGATTGATTCACTTGGTCCTAAAAGTATATGTGTGTGTGTGTGTGTGTGTGTGTGTGTTGTGAGACAGACAGAGAGATAGAAAGGGAGAGAGACAGAGGGAGAGACCGAGAGCTACAGGGAGACAGAGACAGAAACAGAGACAAAGAGAAAGAAGGGGAAAGAAAGAAAAGCGTGTCCTTTCACTCCCCCACTTTGTGTCAGTGAATGTTCCTTAATGGTTTTTCCTCTTGGGTCTTGCCTTCCTCTTGCCAGGCTCTGTGTGTACCACTCGGACCAAGACTGGGGTGGGCTACCCTCAGCTGAGTGCTGTTATTGAGTGCGCTGACTCTGCCCACGGCCTCAAGGGACACATTATCTCTGTAAGTTGGGACTCCAGTCTGGTGATGAGGGTGGGGTCGGGGCTGGGATAGGAGGGTCATGAAGGGAAATTATGGTTCTCAGTCGCAGGGAAGGCCCTTGTGTTCCCTGTCCACTATCTGCTTCCTCCCCACCTGGAGCCACTTATGGGACTAAGCTTGTAGGGAATGTAGAATTACATCGTGATACTGTAAATGTTGCAGGAAAACTTCACTAATGCAGACTGAATGGGTGAAAGGGTTTGAACAAGTTAACAAAGAGTCCAAATCATAGTATAGCTCAACAAGAAATGTCTTGCTATAGTACTTCTGTATTTTAAAATAAAAGGTATAGGGATACTAATTAACTCTGACTTTGAACAAATCACTTTAGATCTCTAAGACTTGGTTTCTTTATCTGTAATAATGAAGAGACTGAGATAGATCATCTCTCAGGCTTGTAAGTAGCTAGGTATGTGGCATAGTGGACAAAGCGTTGGATTTAAGAGTAAGGAAGACCTGAGATCATCATTCTGCCTCAGATACTTCCTGGCTTTGTGACTATGAGCAAGTCAATTAACCTCTCTCAGGCTCAGTTTTCCTATCTGTTAAATGGGGATAATAATAGCACCTAGTTTAGAGTTGTGAAGATCAAATGAGAATATATGTATGATTCTTTTCAAACTTTAAAGTTGTGTACAAATGCTAGCTATTATTATTTTGAATGCTCATTCTAATAAGTTTATTATGTTAATGACAAATGCACAGAGAATCCTAGAATTTTAGATTTGGAAGGTAACATAACCAATCCATTGCCAAGTCTCACTGATTCTCCCTTCACAGCATATCCCATATTTGTCTTCTTTTCTCCATTCACATGGCTAGCATGGCCACTGCCTTAGTTCAAGCCTTTATTAATTCTCAACCAGACTGCTGTCACTGACTCCTAACTGGTCTCCCTGGGGCTAGTGCCTCTGCTCTCTACTCTATCTTCCATACAACTGCCAGAATCATCTTCCCAGAGGATGTGTCTGAACATAACTCCTGTACTTTCAACCCTCACTAGCTCCCTGTTGACTGGAAGACAAAATATAAACTCTTGAGCCTGGCATTTAAAGACTCCCATAATCTGGCTCCCACCTACTCTTCCATACTGATTTTATATTAATCCCCTTCATGAAGTCTGTGTTCCAGCCAAATAGAATTGCTAGTTGTCCTTAGAACTTGGCATTCCTGCCTTCTCTTGACTTTCTTTCTTCTCACAGACTGTCCCTTGTACCTTGAACACTCTCTTCCTCCTCATCTTCACCTCTCAGAATTCCCACCTTCCTTCAAGACTCAGCTCAGATGAGCTCAGCTGCTACCCTCCCCATGAAATGTGCCTTGATTCCCTCCTACCCAGTTATTTATCTCTCTCTCTCTCTCTCTCTTTCTCTCTCTCTCTCTCTCTTTCTCTCTCTCTCTCTTCTCTCATTTCTCTCCCCTTGTCTTTCTCTTCCTCTCCCTCCTTTTTTCCTCCTCCCTTCTCACCTTCTCACCTCCCCTGTTTTTCTCTCTTCTCTCCATATAACCTTGTATTTACTTATCTGGGTACATGTTTTGTCCACCAGTAAACTATAAACTTCTTGAAGGCAGAAATTATTTCATTTTTGTCTTTGTGCCTTACGTATAATAAGTATTTTATAATCATTTGTTCAATTCACTTAATTTTGAGTACAATTCCTACTTAGTAAAGAATAATTTCTTCACCATGGTTACCCAGGGCCATATAGTTTCTGCTTAATTGTATTCAGCTAAGGGGTACTCACTACCACTTGTGGAAGCTTATTCCATTGTTGAATAGGTATATTCATAGGGGGTTCTCTCTTATGTGGAAATGAAATCTGTTTCTTTGTGACTTCCACCTGCTGAGGCAGCTGAGATATAGCTATCATAAAGAGCATGACTTTGGAGTTGCATGACCTGGATCCAGCCTAGCCCTTCCTCTCATTACCTGTGTAAACCATGAGAAAGTCATTTAACCACTCTGAACTATAATTTTTTTACTTGATTAATTTATTTTGATTTATCGACCATCACTTCCATAAGCTTTTGAGTTTTAAATTTTTCTCCCCCCCTCCCCAAGACGGTGCACAATCTGATATAGGCTATACATATATATTCCTATTAAACATATTTTCACATTAGTGATGTTGTAAGGAAGAATTAGAACCAGTAGGAGGAACCACCACAAAGAGGAAACAAAACACAACAGAAGAAAAAAATAGCAAATGGTATGCTTCGATCTACATTCAAACTCCATAGTTCTTTCTTTGGAAGTGGATGAACTATAATTTTTTAACCTATAAAATGAGCATAATAATACTTACAATACATATATCACAGAATTGTCATGTGATGAGACGATGTATACGAATTATAAAGTACCATTTAAAATTGGCCATTATTGTTGTTTACAGTACAGCCTTTGAGAGCAGTGTAGCACAAATCTATTCCTCCACCCCTCCTCTTTGCTTTCTAGATACATGATAGCCCTTAAGATAGCTAAACATTGCTCTCATGTATTCTCTCAGTATTTACGTCTTTAGACCGATGTTTTCCTTCTAAAACATGGCTTCTAGACTTTACAATGTTGATTTCTTTTTTTTCTGGATTCATTCTGGTTTATCAGTTGCCTTTTTATAGGGTAACAAATACCCAGGATCAAATACAATGACCCTTGCAGATGTGATCTGACCTTTGCAGAGTATAGTAATATATAACTCCCTGCTGATGAGTATAGTATACCTCTGCTAATGCAGCCTCAAATCACGTTTCCTTTTTCAGTGGTTGCATTGTGCTGCTGGCTTATATCTGCTAAATCCTGAATGTCATTTTCACATAGGTGGTTGCCAAGCCAGATCTCCTTTTTCCTATACTTGTGGAATTTGTTGTTTGCACCTAAATGTCAAACTTTGCATTTATCCTTGTTGAATTATATCTTGTTGCTTTCAGCCCACCATTCCATCCTGTTGTCATGGTGTTAACTAGCCACATTAGCTTTGTGTTCTTTTTCAGTTTGATAAATATGTTCTCTGTGTCAGGCCCCTCTCCCTTTTAAAAAGTTGAATGGTATAAAACCAATAGCAGATCTCTATGACTTTTCACAAGAAAGAGTTTCCTTTAAAGTTTTTCAATCAATCATTTAATCAATCAGTGTTTATTGAATTTCTACTATGTGTATATAACACTACTGTGATTAAAACCTCATAGATCATTCTATTTTCCATGCTGCTCTTCATTGGAGAACATATTTTATCTGACAGTGAGCTTGAGAATAGCTACATACCTCATCTTATAAGAGATACACAATCAGTGGGCAACTGGATGGCTCAATAGATAGAACACTGGCCCTGGAGTCAGGAGGACCTGAGTTCAAATCCGATCTCAGACCAGACACTTGACACTTACTAGCTGTATGAGCCTGGGCAAGTCACTTAACCCCAATTGCCTCACCACAAGAAAAAAAAGAGATACATGATCAGTTAAACTGAGAGATCTGGGGCTTTTCCATTAGATGGACTCCTTGAGAGGAGGGACTCTTTTTTTTGCCTTTCTTTGTATTTCCAGGACTTAGCACAGTGTCCGGCACATAATTGCCAGCTGACTGACAGACTGGGGCTATCATTCCTCCTGCCTCCATCCAAGCAGAATGTACACTCTGGATTTTTCCCAGCACTGGTAATGAATTTTATGGACTCAGGCATGCTTCCTCACATGGTTCCCCCTTATTACCAAACACACACACACACATTTGTGAGACAGCTGTGGCCATAGAACAAAGTGATGCTAACTGGCCTACAGAGGAAAGGAGCCCGTAACCTTGGCCTCATTAGCACTGTGCTAACTAGTTGAACTAGCTGAGGTTCAAAAGTATCATCACTCCACAGCCACTTTCTAATGTTGTTTCACAATTACATTTCTTTTGCTGATAGTTCTGTATCCACTGGAAACTCATCAGACTTTTTGGTTACTGCCTTTTTGTCCAATTGCCAGCTGTCTCATTTTACACTTTAGTTGCTGAAATAGCACATCTGCTCTATTAAAGTGTAGAAGCAAGCCACAGCAAGGAGTCAGTTGGGCTCAGGGGACTACACTTGGGATAGTGTTTCTGTTTATTGTAACGCAGAGAGCTTTTCTTCCACACTTAAAAAAAGCTGGAGTGTTTTCCAGTAAAGCACAGATCTGAAAAATCCAGGGTAAGGCCAGCACATATCAAGGATATGGAAACTGTCCCCTCTCTCCTACATCATTCAGGAGTTCATCACCTTTTTTTCTGTGCCCTGGAACCCTTTGTCAGATTGGTGAAGTATGTGAACCCCCTCTCAGAATCTTATTTTTAAATACATAAAATAAAAAAAAATAGGAATGCAAAGGGAAACAATTGTATTGATATACCATACCGTACCATACCATACCATATTATGCTCCCTCTCTCTATTTGGCTTTTTTTTAAAAAAAATTTAATCCTTTCTCCCCTAAAACTCTTCAAAGCGTCTGGTCTTTACATTTGTCCCAATACCAGCTCTGCAGTTTGAGTGACAAAAGAAACCAACTCTTGTTTAACCATTTACAAGGGAATAACAGCTTGAATAATGTTTTAAAAATAATTTTCATAATGTATTTTTTCTGTGCCAGAAATATTATTTGGTTTTCATAATGCATTTTTTTTACTGCAACAAATCAACCTTATTAATTTTGTTTTGAGTAAGCTATTATTAAGTTCTGCTTTTGGTCCTGCTCTCTTGAAATTTTTTTAATCAATGAAGATATAGGAAATATAATTATTAATCTAAAGAAGACCAAAAAGAAACCTTAAATCAATAGCTAATATGATGACAGAATGAAGGTTCTAACATTTCAAGAAGTTATTAATGCTGAACCCAAACCATAAGATAAAAGTAAATAATGTAAAATGTTACATTTAGGTTTGAAAAATTACACAAACAGTGAATGGAGCAAAGCTGACTTGCTAGCCATTCATG